CAACCAAATTTATTAAGAGCTTCCAATAACATTTATAGATTTTAAGTCGGGGATCCTTTATAACCACCTTCACACAAAGCGGCCCTACTGCCTCACCCCAACATATGCGGGTGGAGGTGTATCAAGACACCACAATCTCTACATGAAGCGTTCATGCCGCCTCACCCTAATATATGCGGGTGGAGGTGTATCACAATACCACAATATCTACACAAAGCGGCCCTGCCGCCTCACCCCAATATATGCGGGTGAAGGTGTATCACAATATCACAATCTCCACACAAATCGGCCCTGCCGCCTTACCCCAATATATGCGGGTGGAGGTGTATCACAATACCACAATCTCCACACAAAGCGGCTCTGCCGCGTCACCCCAGTATATGCGGGTGAAGGTGTATCATAATACCACAATCTCTACACAAAGCGGCCCTGTTGCCTCACCCCAATATATGCGGGTGGAGGTGTATCACAATACCACAATCTCTATACAAAACGGCCCTGCCGCCTCACCCCAATATATGCGGGTGGAGGTGTATCACAATACCACAATCTCCACACAAAGCGGTCCTACCACCTCACCCCAATATATGTGGATGGAGGTGTATCACAATACCACAATCTCTACACAAAGTGGCCCTACCGCCTCACCCGAACATATGCGGGTGGAGGTGTATCACAATACCATATTTAAACTCAAAGCGACATGATTAATATTACATTTAAGGTTGTAATTTCCCATATCATTGGAATACTTCGTGTGCATGCTCATCATGGAGAAACACAAGTAATTACATTAACACATGCATGGTAAATCAATAACTCAATTTCAATGGCACATGAGCCTAATTTCTTTTTCATCATCATTTAGCATAGGACATGTCTCTTCCACCTCATTATATACCCTCTTGTCAACTTAAGGTCATTAGCTAAGTTCATGATTCTTGGGGACTTAACAACGAAGTCATTTGTATTTATTATCTTAGAAGCATACATACTATGATTGAAACCATTGGGACATACAACGCCTCAAAATTCTCATTTTGGCAAATGGCCACATTTCATATTCATACTATCACTTACTTGTACTTGTCATGGGTGGTCATAGGAAATTAAGAATATTTAAAATATTTAGGAATACCATAGCCTCTCCTCATGAGGGCGTAGGAGCTTATAACACATTGAAAACATAAGTACGGATACGTTAATCTCATAACCATTCATACCATATATCACTTCATTAGAACCTTCAACTAATTACAACATCATTATTTCATTGGCTGCTTCCTTCATTCATGGCACGTGGCCGTATCTCATATTCCACACTTTTATTTCTTTACTTTCAAGGCTCATCATCATAAACATCAGCATATAGAATATTCTTGAAGTATCTTTCCCCAAAAGGGCAATACACAATTTTAACTGATAAATATGTAAAGGCATAAAACACATTGGAAATACTTATAAAGCATAACATTAGTTAAAGTAGCCACATTGGGGCATGACTTAAGGACATAAGCTTTTAGGCAAACTATTTTCAAAGTCAATTTGAAACGGGTGAATCAAGGCTCATTTCATAACCTTTCACACATCATTTCATTTTATTGGCACTATTGGCCACAAGTATAACTTTAATTCTTGGCACGGTGGCCACATTTTATATCCCCAACTCAATCCTTTTACTTTCAAACATCTTTATAGATTATTAACAATAAGGCATCTCTAATCACGACTTTTATTATACACATGAGTAATTAAGAGTCTTAAGTACATCGAGATTTTTTACACAATTTGGCATAATAGCCTTCATTCGAAACACGACTTGAAGTCATAACATCTTAAAACACATCCCATATTTGAACATATTCTCGTATGATATCATAATATGACAAGAGCGTTCGGAACACGTTTTGAACATATACCTTTAGACACAAAACTTATTTGGAATAGTCAATTTATAATGAATAACTCGAGACTTACAAGAACATCATAAGATTCATTTCTAGGAGAGAAGTTTAGCCAACATACCTCAAATTCGCCCCTTAGTGATATTACAATTATCCACTACACTAAGCAACTCCAATCTACAATAACAACATCCAATGGGACTAATATTAGCAGTAATTTCTATAATTTAGGCCATTTAGGCACTTTATCAAACACCCAGTAGGCATGAATCTATTACATATCTTAACCATTGAATTAGTTCATCTAACTACTACCATTTATCAATAATTTATCCCACCAATATTATTAAATAATTCATAACTTCCAACATCACATACACGACTATCCATCCACACCCAACCAACAGAATTCCATCAAATAATCACCTCTCAACCTCTACAATGGCTATGAACTAAATTGGGAACATATGGCTTCCAATCACTATCCCATAAGTTTCAATACTTAATTTATACTCACATACTCATAATAAATCCATGCATGTATGTTTAGGGGTGAAGAATTACCTTTTGAAAGAAATCTTACAAAACCCTCCTTTATGTTTTTGAAGACATTTCTTGAAAATTTAGGTATTTTATGTGTAGATTTCATCAATACTAGTGTAGAAATGATGAAATTTTACATCAAGATAATGGGGATTGCTTACCTTGAAGAAGATAGGGGTGGGTGGTCTTGAGAGACTGGAGAAGAGCTCCAAAATCCGTCCAAGTGAAATGGGAGAAAAGAGCCCCCAAGGTGAGTACTTAAAAAGGCTTCAGGTGGGGGTAGCATGCCAGTTCCAGTGCCAAATGCCTATACTTCACTGGTTTTCAAAGTTGCTGAGAGGGCTGGCATGCACGGAACATAGCACGCTCCCAATTATTTTATTTTTGATTTCTTGCTTCTCCACTCACCCTCAATTGATACCTTCTTATGATATAACCCTGGATTGAATTCCAAACCTTCATATAATTATGAAACCATGTTTACAAAATAACATCTTTTTCATTTAATGTATCCAACTTGTTACACCCAAATTCTTCCCCTTCACAAAACCGCTTAATATGTTCCAACACACCTTAAACATATATTTTCATTTCAAAATGATGTGGTTCTATCCCATAGGTCTCCTTTAATACTCGAATACTTTATTCCCAAATATTGTTGGCGCACTTTAAAATTTTAAATCATTAGAAAATTTTAACGGGGCCTTATACTTGTAATGAAATAAATATATTGGTGTATGTATTTTACATCTGAAAAAGTTTTTCATTTTCTTTATTCAAAAAAAGAAGGGTTGCAAGTCTACTATTCATTTTCATCTGTTCAAAAAATAAAAATCTGGTATATGGGTCTTTGTCTGTAAGAACAAAGAAATAGCACGGAACATGAATCCTAATACATGTTAAGAACTCAGGGAAATTCATAAGCTCACACCAACCACCAAGAAGCAGTCTTTCAGATGCACACGACTATTTTGGATGATTTTGCATCGTAAAGTGTACTATTTATATTTTTCTTTGGTGTAAGTATATACTTCAATCTCGGAACATGCTAGATGGAACCATGTGTACAAGTTTTAGGGAACCAACATATTTAATTACACGTTAATTTATAATCTTTTATTAGTGTTAGTGTCTTCTGATTGTATGCATCTGATCGCAACAAGTGTGGATGGAGGAGTGTTACTTTTTTTTTTACATTTACTGTTGAATTGTGTTCAGAATGTTTTAGAAGATTTTGCACATTATACAATAATGATTAATCTCATACAGGGGCCAAGAAAATGTTAGGCATGCTTGATTACCTAAAATTGCAGTCTAATCTTTAATCGTTAAAGCAGTGAAACATACCAGATATGTTAAACAATTTCAAATCAATCTTAGTCCATCCTATCTGAATTCCCAAAGAAGGGGCATAACGGTGGTCACTAATGACAATAATGAGTTGATTCCTACTAGAACTGTGACCAGTTGGAGGGTGTGTATGTACTATTGCAAACTCAACAAAATCACAAAGAATGATCACTTTCCACTTCATTTGTTAGATCAAATGCTCGATAGATTGGTCGGCCATGCTTTCTATTGCTTTCTTGATAGGTACTCGGGGTACAACCAAATTCTCATTGCTCCGGAAGATCAAGAGAAAACAACCTTTACATGTCCATGTGGTACTTTTGCTTTCAAGCGGATGCCATTTGGTTTGTGCAATGCACCGACGACTTTTCAAAGTTGTATGATGGATATTTTCACGGATATGGTGGAGGACCACCTTGAATTTTTCATGGATGACTTCTCGGTGGTTGGAGATTCTTTTGATGATTGTCTTGCAAATTTGGACAAAGTGTTGGTCAGATTTGAAGAGACCAATTTGGTGCTCAATTGGGAGAAATGCCATTTCATGGTCGAGGAAGGTATTTTCCTTTGCCACAAAATTTCAAAGGGTTGAATTGAAGTTGACAAGGCAAAGATAGAGGTATTTCTAAGCTTCCAACCCCAACTTCGATGACGGGTGTGCGGAGTTTCCTAGGCCACGCGGGGTTTTACCGGCGCTTAATCAAAGACTTCTTTAAGGTGATGAACCCGTTGTGCAAGCTTCTTGAAAATGCCACTAAGTTTAATTTTAATGATGATTTCATGAGAGCTTTTGAATTGTTGAAGCTCAAGTTGACAACTATTCCCATCATCACCGCTCCAAATTGGAGTGTGCCTTTTGAACTTATATGTGATGCAAGCGACGTAGCGGTTGGGGCTGTTTTGGGCAACGCTCAACAAGAATCACTACAAGAAAAAGCCTTATCTACGACCAACTTTTAGGGACAAGTTAATAATCCCGTCGCAATAAATATATTTATTGGGACGAGATTATATTGCGGCACTTAATGCTTTATTTTATTGGGAATGTACTAAATTTGGGCCCTAGAGATATTAGTAACCGGTCCCAAATTACAATTCGGAGGCATTGAGCGTGAGTGTGCCGCCAAATCTAATACCAAAATATTAAAAAAATTATTTTTTTCTGAAAAATCAGGCGTCAAAACTAATACATTGAAATAAGAAGTTTTAAGTAGTAAAGAAACTCTCTGTATCACAAGTCGTCAGCTCTGCCCTAGTATTCCGCCAAGCTCTGCCCGTCTCCTTTATCCGTGTTTTCTCAAAACGCAAGTTCTGAATCTGGTTGTGTGTGAATCTGCCCAAGTTTCCATATCGCTCGTTTGAGAATCCGTGGTATGCCCCCTCTTTCAAGTTGCTCTTTTTCGTTGATTGCTTCGCTTATTCGAGTTCTTCGATCTTCTTCTTCTTCTCTAACATTAAAAAATTGGTAAGGTTTCAGATTTGGGTATTTTTTTTTCTTTTGTATAATCAGTGAAAATATTATTGGGTTGGGATTCCTAAATTTGATAATTTAATTTTCTGAAGTTTATCTAAAATTGCAACTCTGCATTGTATGCGGCATATTTTAATTGCATTCTTTTGCTTCGTTGATGTGTGTTTCTGCCTTCCCCACTTATCTAATCCCTGTAAGTAGCAGTCTCGTTTTTGTACTATAGAGGAGTGATGGAAGCATCTTTTTGAATTGCTAAAATTATGTTTAGTGATACCTAGCGGCTTGTAGAAAACTATTGTGCTTAGCGAATCTTAAAATGACAACGAGAAAGAATTTAGCTTAAAGATATGCTGAATTTCATGAATAAGAATATGTAATAGCTTATTAATTGACCTACAATTGAGAAGTAGGTGATGTTTTATTTGCATCTGCAAATACCAAAGTTATTGTTGCAACATTGTCTGGTTTGCATCTATATAGAGCAGGAGTTAGCAGCATGTTGTTTGAGTAATGGTTAGTTACATATCATATGGCATAAATAGTGTATTGAGTTCTTTCTTATTTGTCAGTACCTACTCTTAATGTAAATGTAGTAATGAGATAGCATCTGGGAAAATTGCAATTCCTTGTTGCTTGTAATGAAAAATATATATTGGTTGTATGTATTTTACATCTGAAAAAGTTTTCATTTTCTTTGTTCAAAAAAAGAAGGGTTGCATACTATTCATTTCCATCTGTTCAAAAAATAAAATTCTGGTGCATACTTTCATTTTACAGATGTTTTAGCTCTTACTTTACTCTAGTAGTTAGCTGTTGGAAATTTTGTTTATCAAAAGAGTTGGTAGTTGGAAATACCTTTTGTCTGATTGATGACATTAGAGTTCCACACAGATTAGATGCATATATGGCATGCTTTATATGTGAGTAGCTGGAGATTGGGCATCCAGAATTGCTTTCTACAGTTACTGCTTTGTGTAACATCAGTGTTGTAAATTTCTCTGGATGGTACTATGAACAGCTTAGGTGGATTAAGAAAACTGCACCAAAAAATGATCATATTTGAAATTCATTAGATTTTATGCTCTCTGAAAGAAGATTTTGGTATACTTAGCTAAGGTAAGACCTCATTAATTTTGCATAACTACGAGGAGAAGTTAGTTTATGAGCCAAGTAATGTCAAGCATACAAATAACAGTGTATTCACATATATTTTTCTTTCATATAACTAAGCAAGAGAATATGGGTCTTTGTCTGTAAGAAAAAAGAAATAACAGGGAACATAAATTCCAATACATGTTAAGAACTCACGGAAATTCATAGCTCACACAAATTACCAAGAAGCAGTCTTTCAGATGCACACGACTATTTTGGATGATTGTATCGTAAAGTATATTGTTTATATTTTTCTTTGGTGTAAGTACTTACTTCGATCTCAGAACAGGCTAGATGAAAACAAGTATACAAGTTTTAGGGAACCAACATATTTAATTACAAGTTAATTTATGATCTTTTATTTATGTTAGTATCTTCTGATTGTATGCATCTGATCGTAACAATAGTGGATGGAGGAGTGTTACTTTTTTCTACATTTCCTGTTGAATTGTGTTCAGAATTTTTTAGAAGATTTTGCACATTATACAACAATGATTATGCTCATACATGGGCCAAGAAAATGTTAGGCATGCTTGATTACCTAAAACTGCACTCTTATCTTTAATCGTAAAAGCAGTGAAACATACCAAATATGTAAACAATTCAAATACATCTTAGTTAAAAAAGATGAGTATGATTTTGTGAGTGTTAATCCATGGAGATTTTTGAAAACAAATGAGACTTTTATTTTAGCGGAGCAAGCATCTCAAGTATTTTATGCTAGTGAAAATTCCAACAAAGGTTGGCATGTAGTGAGGAAGACTCAACCTCATGATTCCTATGAGATTGTGAAACAAATGGATGATGATATTGTAGACTTGGGAAATCCTTCACTAAAGAAACAAAAAAGAAATGATGAGGTGAAGTATCTCTTTATGAATTAGTATATTCATTGTACATATTCTGATGTCATGGTTTCTTTTAATATTACAATTATCACACATTTTTTCTTAATTTGTTTTACTTTTGGCTCTTTGCAGGTTCAATATGAAACCATCAATGATTGAAAATGAGGTGGGATAGACTATGAAGACTACTGCCAATTCTGCATTCGTCGCACCAGGTGCTATAAGAAAAGGACAAGGAAGAGGATGGGAACTTAGATCTTTGGTTGAGAAAGAGAATATACCAACTAAGAGTTTATTTTCTCAATCTAGTGATCTAGTTAAGCAATACATCCAAACAATTGAAACATGTATGATTTTTCAAATCTAATATTTTTAATTTGCATAACTGAATTTAAATGCTTAGGTGTAAGTAATATGATTTTTTTTTAATCAGGTGCTATACGGAAGGGACGAGGACAAGGGCTTAAAAACTCTACCATGTCTGCTAGTCAAGGAATGATACATAAAAACTCCATCGATCGTGAGAAAGAGTATATGCAAATTGATATTCCATTGCCTTCATCTATTGATCAAGTTAAGCAATACACCCAAAAATCGAAACAAGTAAGTTTCTCCAAATCTGTTGTATTTTTCATTGCATGTATAACTGAAATTAAATGCCAAATCTTTTACTAATATAATTTCTTGGGTCCAAGTGCTATAGGGAAGGGACGGTAGCAAATGCCTAAATCTTTTTTCTCCTCTTTAGGGATTTCTAAAAATGAGGTGGGAAAGAGAGTGTTAATTTTGCTAATCAATGTATGTAAACTCCTTCTAAAAGTACAAGATCGAATTTTACCATGTCTTCTAATCAAGAAACGCGTACAATGAATAAAAACTCCCTGGTTCTTGAGAAAGAGTATATGCAAACCAATATTTTATTGTCTCCGTCTACTGATCAAATTATGCAACACTCCCAAACAGCTAAAACAAGTATGATATTTTGAATCCATATGTTATTAATTTGTAGAACTAAATTTTGATGCTATAGTTTTTACCAAATTATGCAACTGTAGGTTCATCTAATCCTGGAAAGGTAAAAAGAGTTCGAGGTAGGAACAAGTGCAAATAAGTTGCATCACTTGAAGTCGGACAAAAGCTGAATGTAATCTTTTACAACAATCGAACGGTTGGAACAAATAGCAAACTATTTTCGAGGCACTTGGGTAGAATAGTACGTGACCGCAATATGTGTCCGTTGCAGTATCATCGTGGAATGATATTAAGCAAGAAAATTTGAATCACATGTGGGCAGCTATTGAGGTAACAAATGTAGTCACGAGTATGTTGTGCATTTTGAGCCTTTTTAAGTCTTTTTTTTGATGAATGTGTTTTGATTTTTTAATTGCGATTTCAGTTTCTTTATTTATGTGTATTGAGCTGAAGTCTGTCATAGCTACTGTAAGTTTTTAAAAAAATCATTTGTGTTCCCGTTGTTCTGCCAATTGTGATCTCAATCCTTGATTGAGTTTCTAACTTCTTCGTTTAACTGAGAGTCGAGTTTAACAATTGTTTGAATGAGTCCTTGATTGTGAAACTTCATTTGGACTGGGAAAAGTTGAATAGCTATGTTGTGAGCATCATCGAAGAGGAAATTCAAGTCCTAGTTGAAAATAATACTTGAAAGTGGAAGTCTTGAAAGTTAGGAGAAGTTGTCTTCTTTAGTTTCTTGCAAAAAGTGCAGCAATGTAGGTGAATTCTTTTCATTTTCTTTTTCTGTTATTACTGAAAAGGCTTCATGGTAGCTTCATAACTGAAGAGGAATTGAGAATTGTATTACTTTGTTGATTGTATCTTGCAATGCATTTAATAAACCAATATTTTGATTATTGTAGGATAAATTTGAGAGTGTTGACATGAATGATCATCGCGATCATATCTTGGGATGGATGAAAGAGCTATGGAATAAATAAAGAGGACACTTGCATGCAAAATATGTGAATGATAAGCCAATCCAACATGTTCTTAAGAATATTCCAATGGGCGTAGACAAGAAAGAATGGGAGTGGTTAGTAAAGGAATATTTTTCTACATAAAGTTTTCAAGTATGCCCAGTGATTTAATAGTCTATTTTGCCAAAGCATCTGCTGTCTGATTCCTTCCCTGACACCAAATACTTTTTTTCCGCTATACTTGGAATCAAACATTAGTGTACTATTTAAATTGATTACAATAATTATATTTAAGCTTATTGTTTCACAAAGGCAAGAAGCAACACGAATGCAACAAACCGAGCTAAGTTGAAGATGCTTCATCATATGGGTAGCAAACCTATTCGAGAGATTATTTATCAAAAGATATTATCATAAAATATATATTTTCCTAAAGGAAATATTTATGAGGTATTTTTTGACATGTTTGCCTTTGATGTAAAGGGCAGAAAAGATGGCAATCCACCGATTTGGCAACAATTATCTTTGAAACTCGTAAGAAAAATAACAAGCTTGCTGAACCTGAAGCAATTGAAAAACATGTATGTTTGGTAAATTGAATATGTAAATGACTTGAAATTATTATGGGTTTTGATATAAAATATTTTTTCATATTTTTTGTAGGCTTTGATTGAAGAAATTGTTCAGTTGGATCCATCTCTACCTAGCATAAAGATAGTAGAAAAATATTGTGGACCTCAAACTCGTAGCCATGTATCTGGCTTTGGGGGTAGAGTAAAGGCGAAAGACTTGAAATGTGGCATTTCTTAAAACGCTGAATTACTGTCCGCACTACGTTCAACTAGAGAGGAAAACAAATCTTTCAATGAGGAAAACAAATCCTTACATGATCGCTTGAGAAAGTGAATATGACAACTAAGAGTTTATTTCCTCAATCTAGTGATCTAGTTAAGCAATACATCCAAACAATTGAAACATGTAAGATTTTTTAAATCTAATATTTTTAATTTGCATAACTGAATTTAAATGCTTACGTGTAAGTAATATAATTTTTTTTCATTAGGTGCTATAGGGAAGGGACGAGGACAAGGGCTTAAAAACTCTACCATGTCTGCTAGTCAAGGAATGATACATAAAAACCCCTTCGTTCTTGAGAAAGAGTATAATGCAAATTGATATTCCATTGCCTTCATCTACTGATCAAGTTCAGCAATACACCCAAATGTTGAAACAAGTAAGTTTCTCCAAATCTGTTGTATTTTTAATTGCATATACAACTGAAATTAAATACCAAATCTTTTACTAATATGATTTTTTGGGTCCAGGTGCTATAGGGAAGGGACGGTAGCAAATGCCTAGATCATGTTGCTCCTCTTTAGGGATTTATAAAAATGAGGTGGGATCTTTCCATAAGAGTGTTGTTTTTGCTAACCAATGTATGCAAGCTCCTTCTAAAAGTACAAGATCGAATTTTACCATATCTTCTAATCAAAAAACGCGTACAATGGATAAAAACTCCCTCGTTCTTGAGAAAGAGCATATGCAAGCCAATATTTTATTGTCTCCATCTACTAATCAAGTTATGCAACACTCCCAGACAGCTGAAACAGGTATGATATTTTGAATCCATATGTTATTAATTTGTAGAACTAAATTTTGTTGCTATAGTTTTTACCAAATTATGCAACTGCAGGTTCATCTAATCCTGGAAAGGTAAAAAGAGTTCGAGGTAGGAACAAGTGCAAAGAAGTTGCATCACTTGAAGTCGGACAAAAGCTGAAAGTAACCTTTACAACAATCGAACGGTTAGAACAAATAGCAAACTATTTTTGAGGCACTTGGGCAGAATAGTACGTGACCACAATATGTGTCCGTTGGAGTATCATCGTGGAATGATATTAAGCAAGAAAAGTTGAATCACATGTGGGCAGCTATTGAGTTAACAAATGTAGTGACTAGTATGTTGTGCATTTTGAGTCTTTTTAAATCTTTTTTCCAATAAATGTGTTTAGATTTTTAATTGCGATTTTAGTTTCTTTATTTATGTGTATTGAGCTGAAGTTTGTCATAGCTACTGTAAGTTTTAAAAAAATTCATTTGTGTTCCAGTTGTTCTGCCAATTGTGATATCAATCCTTGATTGAGTTTCTAACTTCTTCTTTTAACTGAGAGTTAAGTTTAACAATTGTTTGAATGAGTCCTTGATTGTGAAACTTCATTTGGACTGGGAAAAGTTGAATAGCTATGTTGTGAGCATCATCGATGTCACGACGCAATTCTCCTTCTGTAAGATGTCAAAATCCTAGAACTTAAACTTCCGTTTTAGGGATTAAGTATCCCAAAATACTCTGAAACCAAGAACAAAACCTCCCGACAAGTCACATAAGCATAAGATGATACGGAGAAAGCAATAAATAGGGGATCAGGGCTATTACTCTCAAAACAACCGGTCGGGTCGTTATATTCTCCCCCTCTTAAAATAATCGTTCGACTTCGAACGAGCATAGAGACATACTTGAAGTGGTGAAAAAAATGAGGATAACGGCTGCGCATATCATGCTCGGTCTCCCAAGTCGCCTCCTCGACCGTCTGACTCCTCCACTGAACCTTCACTGAAGCAATGTTCTTTGACCTCAGCTTTCGGACCTGCCTGTTCAAAATACCCACCAGCTCCTCAACATAAGATAAATCATTGCCCAACTGGACTGAGCTGAAATCCAACACATGAGACGGATCGTCGTGATACTTCCGGATCATAGAAACAAGGAATACTGGATGAACTCCTGCTAGACTGGGAGGCAAGGCAAGCTCATAAGCAACCTCCCCAACTCGCCGAAACAACTCGAACGGGCCAATAAACCTTGGGCTCAGCTTGCCCTTCTTCCCGAACCTCATGACATCCTTCATGGGCGAAACCAGGAGCACGACCCGCTCTCCAACCATGAATGCAACATCGTGAACCTTTCAATCTGCTTAACTCTTTTGTCTGGATTGGGCTGTGCGAAGTTAATCCTGAATAACCTTAACCTTCTCCAAAGTATCATAAACCAAGTCTGTACCAAATAGCCTAGCCTCGCCGGGCTCGAACCAACTCACTGGAGACCGACACCGCCTACCATACAAAGCCTCATACGGTGCCATCTGAATGCTAGACTGATAACTGTTGTTGTAGGTAAACTACGCAAGTGGCAAGAACTGAACCCAAGCACCCCCAAAATCAATCACACACGCACGCAACTTATCTTCCAATATCTAAATAGTGCGCTCGGATTGTCCGTCCGTATGAGGGTGAAATATTGTACTCAACTCTACGCGAGTACGCAACTCACATTGTACGACTCTCCAGAACCGTGATGTAAACTACGTACACCGATTAGATATGATAAATACCGGTACGCCATGAAGCCTGACAATCTTGCGGATGTAAGCCTGAGCCAGCTGCTCCAAAGAGTAAGTAGTAACCACAAGAATGAAATGACCTGACTTGGTCAATCTATCCACAATCACCCAAACCGCATCGAACTTCCTCTGAGTCCGTGGGAGCCCAACAACAAAATCCATAGTGATCCGCTCCCACTTTTACTCTGGAATCTCCATCTTCTGAAGCAATCCACCCGGTCGCTGATGCTCATACTTCACCTGCTGACAATTTAGGCAATGAGCTACATATTCCACTATGTCTTTCTTCATCCGCCTCCACCAATAGTGCTGTCTCAAATCCTGATACATCTTCACGGCACTTGGATGAATAGAATACCGCGAACTGTGAGCCTCCTGGAAAATCAACTCACGAACATCTACATTAGGCACACATAGCCTGCCCTGCATCTGTAACACACCGTCATCTCCAACAGTGACTTCCTTGCCATCACCATGCTGACAAACAGATGGGGGTCATCATAATGACGCTCCCTGATACGATCATAAAAAGAAGAATGAGAAACCACACAAGCAAAAACTCGACTCGGCTCAGAAATATCCAATCTAACAAACTGGTTGGCCAAAGCCTGAACATCCAATGCCAATGATCTCTTTGCTGCTGGTAGATATGCTAGGCTCCCTAAACTTTCCGCCCTGCGACTCAAGGCATCTGTAACCACATTTGCCTTCTCGAGATGGTATAGAATAGTGATATCATAATCCTTAAGCAGCTCTAACCACCTCCGCTGACACAAGTTAAGATTCTTCTGTTTGAACAGATGTTGCAGACTTTAGTGATCTGTGTAGATCTCACAAGGAACATCGTAAAATAGTGTCGCCAAATCTTCAAGGCATGAACAATAGCTGCTAACGCAAAGTCGTGGACATGATAGTTCTTCTCATGCACCTTCAGCTGTCTAGACGCATAGGCAATCACCCTACCGTCCTGCATCAACACCGCGCCGAGACCAATCCGTGATGCATCATAATATACAGTATGAGACCCCAAACCTGTAGGCAATACCAATACCCGGGCTGTAATCAAAGCTGTCTTGAGCTTTTGAAAGCTCTCCTCATGCTCCTTTGTCCACCTGAACGGAGCACCCTTTTGGGTCAGCCTGGTCATAGGTGCTGCAATAGATGAGAAACCCTCTATAAATCGACGGTAATACCCCGCCAAACCAAGAAAACTCCAGATCTCTATAGCTGAGGACGGTCTAAGCCAACTCTGCACTGCCTCAACCTTATTCGGATCTACCTTGATTCCCTCACTCGACATTACATGTCCCAAAAATGCCACTGAATCTAGCCATAACTCATACTTTGAGAATTTTGCATATAACTTCTTTTCTCTCAAGGTCTGAAGCACAGTCCTCAGGTGTTGCTCATGATCCTCCCGACTGCGGGAGTACACCAAAATATCATCAATAAACACAATGACGAATGAGCCAAGATAGGGCTGGAATACACAATGCATTAAGTGAATGAATGCTGCTGGGGCGTTGGTCAGCTCAAATGATATCACAAGGACTTGTAGTGACCATACCTAGTCCTGAAAGCAGTCTTTGGGATATCTGGCTCCCGAATCTTCAACTGATGATAGCCTGAATGCAAGTCAATCTTGAAAAATACTCTGGCACCCTGTAACTGATCAAATAGGTCATCAATACGAGGTAATGGATACATGTTCTTCACTATAACTTTGTTCAACTGGCGATACTCAATGCACATACGCATAGAACCATCCCTCTTCTTCACAAACAAGACCGGAGCACCCCAAGGTGACACACTGGGCAGAATGAAGCCCTTATTAAGCAACTCGTGTAACTGCTCCTTCAACTCAGGAGGACCCATGCGATATGGAGGAATAGAGATGGGCTGAGTGCCCGGCAATAAATCAATGCCAAAGTCATTATCTCTGTCATGCGGCATGCCCAGAAGATCGATTGAAAATACATCTGGATAATACCTCACTACTTGGACTGACTCAACTGTAGGGGTATCAATACTGACATCTCTCACATAAGCTAGATACGCGTCACACCTATTCTCAACCACTCATTGAGCTTTAAGAAATGAAATAACTCTCACATAAGCTAGATACTCTAACCACGGTAATCCTGGCATAGCCAGCGTCACGGTCTTGGCATGACAATCAAGAATAGCATAATGGGGTGACAAACAGTCCATGCCCAAAATAATATCAAAGTCTACCATACTGAGTAATAATAAATCGGCTCTGGTCTCAAAACTACTAAGAACAACCAAACACGACCGATACACACGGTCAACAACAATGGAATCACCCATAGGTGTAGATACACCAACAGGAGAACTCAAAAAATCACGGGATACGCCCAAATATGGAGCAAAATAAAATGACACATAGGAATAAGTGGAGCCTGAATCAAATAAGACTGACACATCTCTATGACAGACCAGAACAATACCTATAATGACAGAGTCGGATGCAACTGCCTCTGTACGAGCAGCAAGGGCATAGTATCTGGCCTGGCCTCCCCCTCTAGGGCGACCTCTATCTGCCCGACCTCCACCTCGAGCTGGCTGAGCAGGTGGAGTGGTAGATGGTGCTGTAATCATATCCTAGGGGCCCGGTGGAGCACGCGGTGCCTGAGAAGTCTGTGGAGGTTCACCCTTCCTAAGTCTAGGGCAATCCCTCACCACATGGCAAGTGTTGACACAGTCAAAATAAGCTCTCGGAGGGCATGACTGCTGCGATAGGCTCGGGCCAGGTCGCCTGGATTGACCGCTGAAAGCACCCCGTGCAGAAGGTACACTATACACTGGCGGTGCATAATAAGGCTCCTGGGGCCTAGGAGTAGCCGGAATACCACTGGCGGCTGAAAGTGCTGAATGAATAGGGCAACTCATATAGCCCCTACCATGACGAACTGTAGCTGGGGCACGAGCACCTCTATAAGTGCCAGACTCGCGAAACCTCTTGGGCTCCCTCTCCTGTCTCTCCCGAGCAAGCATACTCTTCAATCTCCTAGCAATCCCCATAACCTGCTGGTATGCAATATCCATCTCCAACTCCCGGGCCATGCTAAGCCTGATAGTGGGGTTGAGCCCCTCATTAAACCGATGGACCCTCTCTCGAATTGTAGCAACCAAGGCTGGTGCATGCCTAGCCAAATCACTGAAGTGAACTGCATACTTGACACTGTCATAGCACCCTGGCGCAACTACTCAAACTCTGCGCGCCATGCATCTCTGAGACTCTGGGGAACATACTCCATCAAGAACATATCCGAGAACTAAGTCCATGTAATTGAAGCTACCTCAGCCAGACTACCCAACTCATAAGCACGCCACCACTGATAGGCTGCTCCTCTAAGTTGGAACGTAGTAAAAGAAACCCCACTCGACTCCGCTACACCCATGGTACGGAGGATACGGTGACACTCTTCAAGAAAACCCTAGGCATCCTAAAATGCCAAGCCACTAAAAGTAGGAGGGTGGTACTTCTTGTACCTCTCAAGCCTGAGCTGCTCAGAAACTGCTGCCCTAACCTCGAGCTGAACTGGAGCTACCGGATGCACCGGTATGATCTCTAGAACCTAGTCAACCTGAAGCCGTAGTACTAGGGTACAGGTGGTGGGAGTCTGTGCTCCTCCCCCGGCCTGAGATGTGGCAGGAGCAAGTGGAATCAACCCTACCTGAGCTAGAGTACCACACATGCTCAGAAACTGTGCTAGGGTCTCCTGAAGAGCTGGCGCAATAACAGGCGTCTTAGGTGCCTGCTCTCCAATTGGGGCTGCTGGTGGCTCCTCTGTAGCAGCTCGTACGGGTGCTCTGGCTGCACCACGTGGACGTCCTCGGCCTCTACCCCGATCCCGACCTCTCGCAACTCCAGCAGGGGACGCAGGTGCCTGGTAATCTAATCCGCCTGTACGTATCCTCACCATCTGTGAGAGAATAGAAGACAGAAGTTTAGATTTCCGAAGTCAACAATTTCGCATGACAAGGAATAAAAGAAGTAAAATTTTTTCCTAACAGTTCCATAGCCTCCCGAAGATAAGTACAGACATCTTTCTACCGATCCGCGAGACTCTACTAAACCTACTCGTGACTCATAACACCTATGAACCTAGAGCTCTGATACCAACTTATTACGACCCAATTCTCCCTCCGTAAGATGTCGTGGGAGCACCTAGTCTCTACGACTAGGCAAGCCTAACAATTGCAGAATAATAAAAAATAGAGACAGAAACAACCACTAATATCAACATATAACAATATAACGGAAAATATCGCTTGGCATGTACAAGTAACCAACATCTCGAGTATAACAATATTTCCAAAACTTGGTAATCACAAGTCACAAGCTCTAAGAATTTGTCTACCTACTTCTATACATCAGTAACTAGAAGAAATAAGGGAGGAACAACATGAAAGGGACAGAGGGGGACTCCGAGATCTGCGGACGCAGGCAGATATACCTTGAAGTCTCCAGAGCAGCAGCAAGTACACAACTAATAGTGGGGCTGGTAGGAGTTACCTGGATCTACACACAAAACATGTGCAGAAGATTAGCATGAGTACACCACAACGGTACCCAGTAAGTACCAAGCCTAACCTCGGTAGAGTAGTGACGAGGTCAGGTCAGGGCCCTACTGGTATATAATAATTTAAGGCATAAAAATTAGCAATGTAATAAAAGACTGGAAATTTAACGAGGAGAAATTACAGAAATATAACAACACATCACATAAGGATAAACAACGGGGGGCACTCCCGAGATACCGTCTCGTAGTCCCAAAAGTAAACGCTCAACAGGGGATCTCCCGAGGTACCGCCTCGTAGTCCCAAAATTAAATATATAGGGGGATCTCCCGAGGTACCGCATCGTAGTCCCAAAAGTAAATATGCAGGGGGATCTCTCGAGGTACCACCTCGTAGTTCCAAAAGTAAACAGACAGCTCGAAATCGATGGAAACAATAATTACAGCAAGAAATCCTACAGTTTATGGCTAAATACGAGTTAAGGAAAACACATGAAATCACCTAAGTATGTTGTACAGGTTTTAAATAAGCAATTAAGACACGTAGACATGCGATATTAGGCTAACAAGATAACTACACATGCTGGTATAACTCAATTAAGACGTAACAGGTTACTGCTCAGTAAAAACTAGATTTTTTAACAATTAGCTCGTGTAAGCACTCGTCACCTCACGTACACGGCGCTCACATATCAGAAGTATCACAACAATACCAAATCCTAAGGGAATTTCTCCCACACAAGTTTAGGCGAGCAACATATCTCGAACCAAGCTCAATCAATCAACAAGAATGCCTTTTTCCTCGAACTTATAACACTAAATGGCCCAAATCTAGCCAAAAACCATCACATACTATAAATACAACTATAATAAACTAATCTAATTAATGAAATCAAGACTTTAACAAGAATTTCAAAAATTGCCCCAAAAAGTCGACCCGGACCCACGTCTCAGAATCAGGAAAAAGTCACAAAATATGAACACCCAATCAACCACGAGTCCACCCATACCAAAATTACTCAAATTCGATACCAAAATCTCAATCAAAACCCAAAAATTCGGTTAAAGAACTTTCCAACGTTTTCCCCAATTTTCTCAACCCAAATCCTCAATTAAAAGATGAAATTAACGATAGATTAGTGGAATATAACTATAAATGAGTTAAGAATCATTACTCAATAGCTTCTTCTGAAAATCTCTCAAATTATCGCCTAAATCCGAGCTCTCAAAGTCCCAAAATAAAAATGGGATAAAACACTCGAATATAGCCTTTTTTCGCCCAGCGATCTCGCTTCTGTGAGGGGTTCACCGCTTATGCGGTTCCTCACCAGCGAAAAAACCATCGCAGGTGCAGACTTAACTTAAGTCTTCAAAAATCGCTTATGCGATCAAGGGCCATTTCTGCGCGCCCGCTTCTGCGTTCCTTTCACCGCTCTTGCGAGTCCGCTTCTGTGAGACTCTGACCGCTTCTGCGGTCCCAGCCAGCCAGGCCAAAAATCACTTCTATGGCTCGATGGCCGCTTCTACGGGGTCGCACCTGCAGCCCAAAGGGCGTAGGTGCGATTACACCAGGTGCAACAATTTCAGCCAATCCAACACATTTCCAAATGATCCGTTAACCATCCGAAATCAACCCAACGCCCTCGGGACCTCAACCAAACATACCAACAAGTCCTAAAATATCATACGAACTTAGTCGAGCCCTCAAATCACATCAAACAATAATAAAAATACAAATCACACTCCAATTCAAACCTAATAAACTTGAAACTTCAAACTTCTCAACCGATGCTGCAACCTACCAAATCACGTCCGATTGACCTCAAATTTTACACAGTAGACAAATTCGACATTCCGGACCTACTCCACCTTCCGAAATCGGAGTCCGACCCCGATATCAAAAGTTCACTCCCGATCAAACTTTTCAAAAATTCAAGTTTTGCCATTTAAAGCCTAATTCAGCTACAGACCTCCAATTCATAAATTCGTAAACGCTCCTAAGTCCAAAATTATACAATAGAGCTAACAGAACTGATAAAACTCCATTCTTGAGTCGTCTTCACATAATTCCAACTACGGTCAAAATTCTAAAACTTAAGCTTCCGTTTTAGGGAATAAGTGTCCCAAAACACTCCAAATCAAGAACAAAACCTCCCGGCAAGTCACATAAGCATAATATGATACGGAAAAAGCAGTAAATAGGGGATCGGGACTATTACTCTCAAAATAACCGACCAGATCATTACAATCGAAGAGGAAATTCAAGTCTTAGATGAAAATAATACTTGAAACTAGAAGTCTTGAAAGCTAGGAGAAGTTTTCTTTTTTACTTTCTTGCAAAAAGTGCAGCAATGTAGGTGAATTGTTTTTCATTCTCTTTTTCTGTTATTACTGAAAAGGCTTCATGGTAGCTTCATAACTGAAGAGGAATTGAGAATTGTATCATTTTGCTGATAGTATCTTGCGATGCATATAATCAACCAATATTTTGATTATTGTAGGATAAATTTGAGAGTGTTGACATGAATGATCATCGCGATCATATCTTGGGATGGATGAAAGAGCTATGGAATAAATGGAGAGGACACTTACATGCAAAATATGTGAAGGATAAGCCAATCTAACATGGTCTTAAGAATATTCCAAAGGGTGTAGACAAGAAAGAATGGGAGCGGTTAGTAAAGGAACATTTTTCTTCAAAACATTTTCAGGTATGCCCAGTGATTTAATAGTCTATTTTGCCAAAGCATCTGCAGTCTGATTCCTTCCCTGACACCAAATATTTTTTTTGCTCTATACTTGGAATCAAACCTGTGTATTATTTAAATTTATTACAATAATTATATTTAAGCTTATTGTTTCACAAAGGCAAGAAGCAACAGGAATGCAGCAAAACGAGCTAAGTTGAAGATGCTTCATCATATGGGTAGCAAACCTATTCGAGAGATTATTTATCAAAAGATATTATCATAAAATATCTATTTTCCTAAAGAAAATATTTAAGAGGTATTTTTTGACATGTTTGCCTTTGACGTAAAGGGCGGAAAAGATGGCAATCCACCGACTTGACAATAATTTTCTTTGAGACTCGTAAGAAAAATAACAAGCTTGTTGAACCTGAAGCAATTGAGAAACATGTATGTTTGGTAAATTAAATATGTAAATGATTTGAAATTATTATGGGTTTTGATATAAAATTTCTTCATATGTTTTGTAGGCTTAGATTGAAGAAGTTGTTCGTCGGATCCATCTCTACCTAGCATAGAGATAGTAGAAAAATATTGTGGACCTCAAACTAGTAGCCATGTATTTGGCTTTGGGGGTGGAGTAAAGGTGAAAGACTTGAAAGGTGGCACTTCTTCAAAGGATAAATTACTGTCCGCGCTACGTTCAAACTCGAGAGGAAAACAAATCTTTGAACGAGGAAAACAAATCCCTACATGATCGCTTGTCTTCCTTAGAAAATGAGATGAAAGAAATAAAGAAAATAAGGTAATTCTTCGCTACTCAATAATCGCATGTCTCGCCTACGCCATCGCCCATTTCAACTGAATGACCACTATTTTTGTCTGCTGGCCAAGTTAGTAATAATATTCCTTACTTTTTAATTTTTTTTTGTTGATTTACATATAGTCACTTCTACTTATAGATTCTATCAGTTGTTTGATTTGACTAGCGAGTAAACTATGAGTAAACAGAAGAATCCCATCAATATACCACATGTATTGGGATTCTTTTATCACAACTAATTCTATCATCATTGATCCAAGAGTTGTGTGCCCAAGTTTCTGTTCACCATGGCAAGAGATATTACTTGCCACATTGTAAGGAAAACAGCATAAAGAAGGCTGAATTTTGTTAGTTATTTAAATGAAAATCCAAAAGTATTAGGTGGTTAAAATGCGTCAAGTGTTTTAGTGATGGAAGTATATGCTTTACTAAATCCATTCTACTGCCTGCTCTTTAAATAAGCGCTCATTCCGTGTTGAGTCTGATTTGCTGTATTTCTTGTTACATTAGCCGGGGTCAGGAGCTTCTCTGAAGCATCCATGTGCTGCATATATAACAATTCTAGATACACATACATTTTCTTTATGCTTTTGGGCTGTTTGACATGCACTGTTTGTCCAATTGTACACTTATTGGGTCAGACAAGTATTATATATAATTAAGACTTCAAAACTTTTGATGTGGCATCGTATTTTGCTCTGTAAATTTATCCAGGTATTTTGTCAGATTTTATCAAACAAAGAAAAATGAATGCAGAAAAAGATAATAGAATTTCTCGTTGTTTTGTTTGCTCTATTGGCAATTTAATAAGAGCGTTCTTCATGGGTATGCATAAAAAGTGTTGGATAGGGAGACTCTTTGATGTGTGGGGTTTAAGGCATATACACCTAGTGGCAAGAGTAATCACATGTAAGCATATCAAAGTGGAGTAAAGGTACAGACAGAAGTGCATTTTCACCTAAAAAGGCATTTCAAAATCTAAAGATGTTTCACACCATCAGCATACTTCTTCTGAAAGCTGTCTTATAGTGATTCCTTTACATATTATAATGCTGCTAACATTGCAAACTTAGATTCTGAAGAGTTGACGAAGAGCTTTTCCTCTGTTGATATTTTTTATTTCATCAATAAGTGACAAATGACACTTGCACATGTTTATGATAAATGATGCTGGGTGATAGCACCAAACTACCAATTATGTACTATGTAGAGATTTCTAATTGCAGAGCTGTATTGAACTTATATTGTAGTTTAAAGTTTCTATCAGAAAAAAACATACTTGTGACTTCGTTTTACTTTACCTAAGCCTTTCCAGGACACGTATGGATAAATTCCCAGACCATAATGTTCCAAAATGATTAACATGCCAAAGTTAGTATTAGTTATGTTCTTGCAAAGTTGTATAGGCCTAGTTTAGGCTAATTATCGATGAGACACTTCTTGCACGATATCGTGTTGCTTAAAGTTTTAAGTAGCTACTACAGAAGAACTCTTACATTCAAATAAGTTTGTTTTACATGTTGTTGATATCTTGCATAGATTGATATATTAAGAAGATCACATAATCTTTAAACATGTACTGAATATCAACATGCTAACAGTTGTGAATTAATGACATTTCATTCTTGAAGTAGCCTCGACAACTTGAAATGAATACATTAGGCACAAATATGGTGTAAAAGTGATTTATGGTACTCGGAAGTTTCTCCTTCAGTGGCTGCATCTTACTTCTATTGTCTGATTTCTATGACACTATCTTTGGAATCTTGTAGATCTTCTTCAACATTGTGTTACTCTGCATCTTCATCTAAAGCATGAATAGTAAAAAACAAAAGAATAAAGTGCCGGATTTTTTCGAATCAAAGTTTGATTTACCATCCCAAAACTTTTCTAATTAATTTTTCTTATATTTTTGCAGCCTTGTTGATGTTGTTGGATAACACCTGATGAATTTAGATCTCTTTTGGGCAAAGCAATTTAACCATTTCAAGTGTAATTTTACATATATTATTTTATCAATAGTTATTCATCATATTTTAAAATTTTATACTTACAGGTTTTGAAGATTGAAGGTACAAGAATGCAAGTTTGGAAGATACACAAGCTCATTATTATTTTGCTAGGAATGTTATGTAAAACTTGATATCGTTGTCTAACTCATGATGTTAGCTAAGTATTTTTGTTAAGGTGTTGAGCAAATATTGAAACTAACATGATGGGATGTTAACATTGTAATTAATATCTTTTTATACCAAGAATTTTTTGTAGCAAATTGATATTTATTTATAAAAATAACTTTTCTGAGACATCGAGCTTTAGGACTAGTTGTGGTTAATAAGAGACCAGAAATACGGTCGTTAAAGTAATTGCAGTTATTTTAAATAGGGACTAGTGGGGCTCGTTTCTAAAATATAATCTACGACCAGTTAAAAGCTAGTCGCTAAAAGTGTTAACGGCTGGAAAATATATATTTTTCATAATATATTAATTGTCTATTAGGGACGGAAAGGCTGGTCTCTAATAGTGTTTAATGACCAAAAAATATCTATTGGAATAATATGTTAATGGTCTACTAGGGACGAGGTCTCTATAAGTATTTAACGACTAGATGTTTCTCTCGTCTCTAAAAACATTTAAAGACCAGGTTTTTAAACCGTCGTTGTAGACCTTTAGCGGTGGAAGCTATTGCGACGAGTGACGACCAGCTTTTTCCCGTCGCAATTGATTTATTAGGACTAGATTTGGATCTTTAGTAACCATTATTCACTTCCTTAAAGGCAATGTTTCTTGTAGTGATTTTCCATCCGGTCTACTATGCTAGTAAGACCATGAATAGTGCCCAAGTTAACTATACCGTTACAGAGAAAGAGCTCCTTCCTATTGTGTTTGCAATTGAGAAGTTTTGCCTGTACTTGATGGGTGCGAAAGTTATTATCCATACGAATCATGCGGTACTTCATTATCTTATGAGCAAAAAGGACTCCAAAGCTTGGTTGATGAGATGAATTCTCTTGTTATAAGAATTTGATATTGATATCCAAGATAGATAAGGTAGTGAAAATCAAGTGGCGGACCACTAGAGCCGTTTGGAGGAGGGGAGGCCGCATGATGATCTTGAAATCAATGACTCCTTCCCCAATGAGCAACTCTTGACAATTTCAATAACAGAGGTGTCATGGTTCGCGGACTTAGCAAATTTTCTTGAGTGTGGAATCATTCCGGATGAGTTCTTTTCAAGCCAAAGGAAGAAACTCAAACGGTATTATCAAGATTATTATTGGGATGAACCACATATTTTTAGATTTGTACAGATGGAGTGATTAGAAGATGTATACCGGAAGAAAAGCAAGGTAAAATTCTTGGGGCTTGTCATTCTTCGCCATATGGTAGTCATCATGGTGGAGCGAGCAACCAAAGTACTTAGTTGTGATTTCTTTTGGCCTACTCTTACAAAGATATTAGTGAGTTAGTGAAAAGATGTGATGATTGTCAACGGGCTGGTGGAATCTCAAAGAAAAATAAAATGCCTCTCATAATCATTTTGGAGATTGATATTTTTGATGTGTGGGTAGACTTCATGTGCCCTTTTGTGAGTTCTCATGGAAACATACATCTTGGTCGTGGTAGATTATGTGTCCAAATGGGTTGAGGCTGTTGCTTTACCCAACAATGAGGCGAGAAGTGTGGTGGCTTTCTTGAAGAAGAATCTTTTCGCAAGGTTTGGCACTCCACGTGTAGTTATAAGCGATGGGGGTCACATTTTTGCAACAAGGCTTTCGACACTTTACTTAGCAAGTATGGTGTTACTCATAAAGTCACGACTCCCTATCACACACAAGTTAGCGGGCAAGTGGAAGTCTCCAACCGGGAGATAAAGAGTATCTTGTCCAAAATGGTGAATGCTAATCGCACGGATTGGTCCAAGAACTTGATGATGCATTATGGGCTTATTGGACGGCTTTATATCTCCATACCGGTTGGTGTTCGAGAAAGCTTGTCATCTTCCGATAGAACTAGAGCACAAGGCGGTGTGTGCTCTAAAAAAAGTTGAATCTAGATTAGGATGTAACCGCTAACTTGGGGGTTGCACATTTGAATGAATTGGATGAGTTCAGGTACCATGCTTATGCGAGTTCATCCCGGTTCAAAGAAAAGATGAAATACCTTCATGATAAATACATTTGGAATAAAGAGTACAAGGTTGGCGATCTTGTATTGTTGTTTAACTCAAGATTGAGGATGTTTCCCGGTAAGCTAAAATCCAAGTGGAGTGGTCCTTTTGAAATTATTGGTGTGATACCTTTTGGTGCATTAGACTTGAAGAACAAACACAATGAAGTATTCCGAGTCAATGGCCACTGGATCAGGCAGTACTTGGGAAAGTATTGAGATAGCCACGTGGTGGCGGTCATTCACTTCATTTGAGAATTTTTTGTGTCGTGCAACGACGTTAAATCAGACGCTTCTTGGGAGGCAACCCATGTTCTTTTTATTTTTCTTTTATTAATTAGGTGTTATTTGTATTCTAAGTTGATTTGAAGTATGCTACAGGATGAGTGTGACTTACAAGAATTATGGATGGAAATATGGCTAAGTGTTCAAAAGAGTACGGACTACGCACATTTTTATGTGCCATAACAGATGAGCATTGCTGCCGCACATTTCTCTTATGGACCGCACAATTGAAACATCAAAAATATCAAGTCTCTAAAGTTTAATCTTGTCAGTGCAAAGATCGATCAGTGACCGCACGTGAAATCTGTGGCCGCACCTAAAAATATGCAGACAGCAGAATAGGTTCTGAGAATATTCACCCAGGTGGTAGGGTAAGTACGACACATGAAAATATGCGGCCGCAGTCGTCTCTTCTCCCTTCTCAAAATTTCTGGTATAAATAGAATAAGAGCCACATTTTACCCTTTTCACAATTTGAACAAAACACTATTACCCTGCTAAATGTTCTTGGAGATTTCCACTGTCCACACATACAACCACATCGATTAGTCACTCATTGCACTCACTCTATCTAGTATGCTTCAATTTCACGTTATTTTTTTTGTGTGTTAGTTTCATTTGTAGATTTCAAGTTCTTTTTAGGCCATCTGTTATTACGGTTCAATTATGTGTCCATGTGGGGTAGATCTGAATTGCGTTAACTTGATACATGCTCTACTGGGATTGGTTTAGTGAAATTTCATTTTACAATGTTACAATGCCTATTTTTTCAAGAAATTAAAAAATCTTAGAATAAAAAGTTGTCTGCTCGTAATTGTTTGAATTCTGCCGCCGCACTTGAATTGTGCGATCCGCAGATATGGATTTTTAGAAACTTATGTGAGGCAGGAATCTGCGGCCGCAAGTCAAATTGTGCGGACCACAGATTTCCTCTTGCGGCCGCAGATTGACCATTTCTCTGTCATCAGAGAGTTTACAATTTTAGGACTCAGAAGTGCGGCCGCAATCTCAAATGTGCGGACCGCACAACAGAATTTTGCGGACCGCAAATCCCTTATCCTGCAAGCATGACACAAGTTCACAACCCCACGGTGTCCAATTGTATCTCCCTTACCTATATGTCTCCTATATGTGTTTGAACTATGAATTGCAACTAAAAATCTCCTCCACTTGATACAGACAATGGTTCGATAAATAGGCCGAGGCGACACTTTAAATAGGAGAGGTGAATCTTCTTGGGGTTAAGGCAAAAGTGCCTTGCCCCTTGGCCAGCCCAAGATAATAAGAAAGAAAACAATAACCGGCAGAGGGAGAGGTGCAGACCTCTCCGAGTCTAGCTCCTATGTCCCGTGTAGGGAGTTGTCAGAGGGCAACTCAGCCTATGTTCACGAGGAGCAGACGGCCACACAGTCAAGGTTGCAGGGGAGATACCAACTCAGAGACGAGCCATCTTCATCTCACAGAACCTCCGAGGGGTCGAAAAGTGTTAGCCAGACTTCTGAGCCATCAGCTGCACTAGTCCCCGAGGCACATGTTATACTTGACATCCCCGATGATGGTAGATGAGGAGACACTACAGCTACATGGCTTGAAAGATCAAAGAAGAAAGTGGTTTAGGAGGATCGTTTTGTTAGCTTGGGCGCCTTCACCAGTTTTCGTATGTGGTGGCCAGTGAGGTCGCTAACTCTTGAGCAACAATTTCTGTTGAAGGATTTGGAGAAATACAACCCGGCAATTTTGAGGCAATTCAGGGCACAAAAATGTTGGATGTAGTTCACCGAGAGAGTGGAGGATGCCAAAGAATACCTCGTTTGGGAATTCTATGCCAATGTTGCTCATATAAAGAAAGGGACAAACATGGCCAAAGTACGCAATCTTAAGGTGAGGTTTGATCAGCATACACTAAATGCGTACTTGGGATTCGAGGATGTTGAGCCAAAGGAGTATCTGTAAAAGTGCGCAATGAAGGAGGAAGTCCGACCTTAGATAGTTAAGATCGTAGCACCACCAGGGCCACGACCACCATGGATCACTGCTGAGGTTCCCATCCACCGGAGCACTTTTAGTTTTGAGGCGAAGGGGTGGCAAACTTTTGTCTGCAGCAGATTGGACCCAGGCTAGAATAAGACTCAACTTCCTATCCCTCGGGCAGTTCTTATGGCTTCCATCATGTCCGGGTACCCAAATAATGTGGGTGGCATGATGTTGGCCAACATTTCAGTGATTGCACGGCAAGACAGCTCGGCCTACCCATATCTCAACACTATCATAGAGTACCTTTCACTGATGCAAAGGTAGAGTCGAGAGATTTTGATACCAAGGTGAAGCCGAGAAGCCATTCGACCGGTATTCACTAATTGATGCGAGCAACCCAAAGAAGAAAGTCCAGTCTTCTACCACCATAGGCTAGTCTAATGAGCCAGTAGTGGTAGTTTCTGAGACATCTGATCTTCCTTCCACATCTGCTGAGCCTTCGTCCAGTGCCGCTGCTATGCCTCCGCCATCATCCGTAGCTCCCACTCCAGCCCCTACTCCAGCTCCTACCACAACTCCTAGGGTAGCTCTGAGGCCAGTACACATGCCCTCAACTCCACTATCTGCGTTGTGAATCTCCCAAACACTGGCGAGTCTCAACAACATGATGCAAACAACTACTTCAAAGCTGTATGACTTGTCTAGTACTGTTGCAGTGCAATCCACTTCTCGTGCACCAAATGCTCCCTCTGACATTGATGAAACACTAAAAAGATTGTAGAGAACTAGAAGACTATCATGGACACCTTGGTACAACACAGGTCAGTTATTGAGGAGCTCG